ACATTCCTTAGAACACTTATCAGAGAAAGATTTGACGACATCATTGATATTTAATATTTTAATATTCATTCATTGATTATGAACGTAAAAATAAAATGAAAGAAATGCTTCATAAATATCTCCGGAACTTAATCATTGCTTCATTTCTTTTTTCCCCTTTACGAAAATGATGATTATGATTAAATGACAATTGACTCGAATAAGTAACATGAGATAAAAAAAAGATAATAACTTTAATTCGATTTTAATTACCTTCGTTGAGCTTGACGGAATGATGTAATAACTACGCCAACCTTACTCGAACAATGTGGAATGCTTGGATCATGTTGCATTGAAGCTCTCGACGAAATCGTTCCTAAACTAACACCACCCAACGATCCTATGAATGAAGAGAAGTATAAAAAAGAACTTTTTAATTATAAATCGAGCAATCTCAGAAATAAGATTATCAAGGGCTTTGATTATTCCATTTACCTCGAGGTGTATACAACGAAGCCATTTCATCATCACTTTCCGAAAAGCGTCTGAAAAGGTAAACTTTATTATTGATTAATACTTTTAATTAATCATACCTTGGTTCACGTTGTGGCGTTCCAAACGATCCAAATGATTTTCTTTGACGTTCTGGAGTTTTTGGGGCTGAAAACTTTCGATGAGTTAACCGTGGACTTGTCTTCTCAAAGTTCTGTTGTCAATTTAACTAATTTATTTAAAGAAAAAAAGAGGGATAAATGTTTCAAGTGTTTACCTTCGAAGTTGTCCCTTCGCCATTCAATTGCAAGCTATAGCGATGTTGACACAAAGCGGCATGGGGAATCACGTTGTAACCAGCACTAGGTCGTCTGTTCAATACAAGGAAAAGGGTTAATTAAATTAGAAATGTTTTTTAAGAAATTTATGCATGTTTTCACCTATCAAAAGTCACTCCTATTGATGGCGGTGAAATTGTTGTTTTTTGTGTTGCTGTTGTTATCATCGAAGTTGCGATGACGGTTGATGTTGTCAAACTGAGTTTTGATGTACTTGGTGGTGGTGACTTTACAATACTCGTTTTCACTTCAATTGATTTTGATTCCACTGTCACTTGTGGTTGTTGACTTTTCGTCACGGTGAGTGTGTCAATTGTCGCAGCTGCTTGTTGTTCAATTGTCCTTGGCGGACGTTTTGGAATGATACGTTCAGGTAATGGACTTGTTGGAACTTTTCCGTATTGGAATGTTGATGAAGTTGATTCTGTTGGTGTTTCTTCGCATTTCTCACCACTTCCAGTCGATCCTACAAGTGTCACTGCACTTAAATTTGATGGCGATGTTGGTGCACTTGGAACTAAAGTGTCAACACTTCCTGAAGTTGAAACTGAAGTTTTTGATGGTACGCCAAGATAACCTTCGTCTTGTTGTGCAACTTTCACTTCCTCACGTTCCTCTTCTTCTGCTTTTTCTTCTGCTTCAGCATCATGCACAATCGTCACTGGACTTACTTCAATCGCCATTGTTTCTGGAATCCATGACAACCCTATCGGTTCCTGATCTGTCGTTGATTGCTGTTGATAAATTCTTCTCGATGGTCGAAATCTCAAACCACCAGAATCACCACTCATCGAACGATCTCTATCAGCGCCTTCAGAACAATATCCTGAAAAGTATGAAGCTGTCAAGCACATGAACAAATCATTTTAAGTCAATCAATTGAATAATGGTTGAAAGACATTGAAGAAAATTCTTTCTTTTCTACTTTGAAATGATTGACGAAGACACAAGAGAGATGACAAGAGAAAGAAAGAAAAGACTGAAAATTAAAGCTTATCAGAAAGCTTTTACCTGATACAGAACTCGCACCACTTGTGCGACGAGGTCCACTCTCATTATGACTATAAGGAAGCTCAAGAAGATCTGTCTGCGGTTCGCAGTCACAAGGTTCAATAGGTGGGTCATAAAAAACTTGTTTGAGTGCATTTAAAACAGTTTCACCGTCTGATAAACAAAAAAAGTAAACAAGAATTTCATGTTTATTCATTACAAAATACATAAGAAGTAAAATAAATGAATGCAGACCTGTGAAGACACGATAAGTGAGTAAAAATGTGTTTAAGAAGTCGATAGATAAGAAACGTAGATCGGTGAGTCTTTGTAAAAGTCTTTCAGGAGTTGCGTAGCGTATTTGAGGCAGCTTGCATGAGTTAAGTGTTCTAGAAAATCTAATATCCACATCGTCCTTAAATAAATGGGGATCAGCTCGTAAAGCTTGATGACCTGTAAATAATGAAGCTTTGGAATTGGTAGATTAAAAAACATCAAACATTTATTATTTCAAACAGTCAAATTTCATTTATCTACCTCCAGAAGTTCCACCGATTCCCGGTGATAAAAGCGAATGCATATGAATGTTGTCTAAGCATTGAGAAATGTCGCTTATCCAAGCTTCTTTATCTTGTGCCGTTGGTGCAACAAGATGAATCGAATGTCTTTGTCCTGACTTTCCATCAACAAAAATCTTAAAGTCGCGATTATTTGCATTAACAATGTCAGTGGAGCTTAAAGTGCTGCTTTGTGTCGATGCCGAACAAAGCGATTCTTCATCATCATTTCCAGTTTCACTGGGATCTTCAATGAGCGTTGCGTCTATGAGAGGTATTTTACCCACATCGGGGAGTAAATGTAACCGACCAGCGGAAGTTCTTTGGGTATTATTTCAAGAATTTTTAATTAGCAATGAGACATTCACCTTGGAATTTAAGCTTTTTCTTTTACCTTGTTGCTATAATCATATGATTCGAAAAGAGAAAACATTGACGAACAGATTCTCTTTCACTTTTGAATGAAGCCAATCTGCTTCGAATGCGACCTCGACCAGGAGGCACTTGTACTAAGCTACCCTGTCTTACAAATACCTGATTAACATCCAAAAGAATGTCACAACCTTCGACAATCATTCTTTCGACGGCTAAATTTTTACGTAAGTTTTCCGTTTCCGACACTTCATCGTGCATTTGTCTGTGGAATCGAATCAAACAAAATTCGAACAAATGAAGTGATTACACCAAGCATTTTCTAATTAATTACGTAAGCTACAAGGTTACCTGCTGAGATCTTCCAACTGCTGTCGAGCGTTTTGCAAACTTTTCCTTTCGACATGGTCGTGGGGTGTGTGAGCCAACAATTCATGAAGCGTAATAATGTAGCGTGGAATCTGATGCATTGGATATGTCAAAAATGTTTCCAGACTTCGTCCCTGGCATTGTGGTTTCGCTGTAATTAATAATTTTTGTTGAAAAAAGAGAAAAGAGAGATGTTAATTAAATTAAAAAGTTTTACCTTCGAGTCTTTTGAGAACCGTCGCAAAGTTTGCATTACTTTTACATTCTGTCAGAACTTGAAGACTATAATGATGGTTTCTAACATATTCTTGATATATGCTCAACATTGGAAGTAGCATGTCAAATAAATCACCTGTAACGATTGTTAATCACATTACTTCGGTACTTTGATAACAATGCGCTTAGGAACACATTCAATGAAACTATGTATGAATGATTTAAGATCTCGTTCGTTCGTATCTCTTTTTTTTTTGTTCTTATTTGATGTGAAATCATTCATAAACTCAACAAAGCAAGCACTACTAAATTTTTGGTTGCTAGATGCGTGCCTTTAAATATTCTATGCTAGATATTGCGATACAAAATATTTCATCTCGTTGACATTCGAGTCATGAATGAATCGTTCGTTATGCGTCGCTATGTAGAAAGTTGTAGGAATTTATACAATTTGTTTCATTTAATAAACTTTTTCCATATTTACATTTAGATAATGACTCTCTGCTTATTCAATGTTCCTTCTATTTTTATACTTATTATTTACAATAATTTTCTAGCGAAATTCTTTGATTTTATTCCAACATAAATTTTTCTTTTCATGTTGTTTTGTGATATTTCAGTAAATATAGTTAATGAATCAATATCGTAGTATCATATTTCTTATTAAATATCACTGCCTTTTATTTATATCTTCAAAATTTTATTTGTAGACACGAAAACAGCTTATTTATAATACTTATTTTCCATTACGCTTCAAAATATTTAACTCAATAAAAAAAAAGAAGAAACATAACAAAAAACAAAAGTAAAAGAATAAATGAAAAAGTCAAATTGCAAAGAAATACTTAGCAACATTCATCTATCTAATAACAACACCTAGGTAAGAACTTTTCGAATTATTTTTACCTCTACACAAATAACTCATCATCAAAATACTTAATGAACTTTTTCAACAGCTGCCAATAAAAGATATATTTATTAAGGAGAAGTGGTAACGATATCTTGTTTTTGTAATATAATGTTACAGAAGCTTTTGTGGGGCTAAACTACAAGAAAGTTTATAATAGGCTAATTTAAGTAACAAAGTGTTGTGGAAAGTCATCACAAACATCGAAAAAGAAAGGATCTGACTCATACTTATGTAGTTACTTCGTTACATAATTATGGTCGAATGAAATCAAGAAGAAAAGTTGATGAATGATTTCACGACGGCTTACCATATGTCTTACCTAATGATGAGAATAGCAATGAATTAAGAAAAATTTTGGGAAATTAAAGGGACAATGGGATGAATAATACCGAGAACTAGTGTAGGCCAAGACTCCAATCGGGACGTCAATCCTTTAAGAAAGATTTGATGAAGGAAAAGCACTGTTTCTGAATTCAAAAATATCGAGTTAACATCTTCATGTGAACATGGGGGACGTTTTGATGACGCTGCCATCTTAAATGGTCGAAGGAAACATGACACTAATACCTGAGAAGAAGAAATGGAAAGAGGTCAATGGAAAATAATTGCCGGAAGTTCTATGGAAGTGAAGTTAAATGTATATTTTTGATGGTATTATTCGTTTACTTCAAGTTGTTCTAAGTATTCTTCCTCCGCTTCAACCATACTGAACACGAGACTATTTCTCTTTCTCATGCTCTCAGCATGGGGTGATTTGATGTATTCTTCAACGATTTGCTTCCATCTGCGACGACACAGCCAACCACGAAAGAAACTTTGTACTTTTTTAATCTTTCTCAGCTCGATTGAGTCTTGAACTGATTCACATAAACCTGATAAGTTAGCAGCGTCATTAACTGCTGCAGCATCAGTTGGTTGTTCACTTGGTGCGACTATATTTGGAGCTGCACTGAAACTCCCACGACCAACAGGTGTCGCTGAAAAGCTCGATCGGTTGGTTTCTTTACGGAGAACGCAAATCTGAAATAGAATGCCAATTATAACTTTATTGTTATTCTCTTTCTTCTCGTTTTGTATGGCTTGATAATTTGAATAATTCAATTAACCTCAGCACGGAGTTTTCTTATTTCCGAGGCGAGCTCTTCACACTGTTGAGTATATTGCCATTTAGCTGTTTTCTCACTTTCAACTACTTGAAGCAAATGTACATGCTTTTGCTCGAGTTCTTCCTTTTGAAGCAGCAATTTGTTGAAACTTGAGAATATTTAAAAGAAAGCAAGAAAAAAAGTGAAATGAAAAGTTTTTCTTTATTTTTTTGTTTTCCGACACGTTGGAAACATGATTTTAATATTTTATTAAGAAGCATTGTTGCATACCTCGCTTCTCTTATTGCTATTATCCATGCTGAACATTCAGACTCCGTGTTACATTTCAGTTCGTAATGACGTTGATTCTCCCGACGGTATGAGATTGTGAAGCAATGCTACACAAATAAATGTTTAGAAAATTTTCTTCAACATATCAAACCAAGGAAAAGCTTCTAAGGGATTGTTTCAATAAATACTTCAACTCTTAATCTATGAAATATTTCTTGATTTCTGTTTGTTTATTTCACAAATGAAATTCCCTTTTTAAATTGCTTCACTTATTCTCACCTGTAATTTTTCTTCTTTATTTGTTTTTGATGAATTAACATTCGCATTATTATTTGTTTGAAGTGGGGATCCCGGCGCAATGCAAGCAGGAGCTGACACCAAACGTTCGCAATAGCATCCTTCTAAAAATATAATTCCAGATGGGCGTGTTGACGTTTCAGATTCGTAATAAAATAAGAGATTCTGTGATCATGGATACGGAACGAAGAAAATAAACAAATAAAAGTTGCATCAATTGCTTAAGGCTGTCGAAAGCATTTTTATTCTCGATTAACTTACTTGATACAGAAGGAAAAATCGAAGCTGCCATTTATCACTGGATGTTCGCTTATATAAATATCCTTGCTGTGAATAAAAGAAAAATCCTTAGGGACTCTCGTCATTTTCAAAGCCAATTTGTTTGGCAGTTTTTTTTGACAACTTGAAGACGTTTGAAGACAAGATTCGAAAATAAACTGAAGTGAAATTCAACGTCGGTGGAATTTTATCTAAGACTTGTATCTTTCGGTTAACTTCATATCATAACATGTTTAACATAGCGACTTTTTCAATACAAATGTAAGCAGAAATATTTTCTCTTTCCTACGTATACATTTTTTGTTCAAGTGATTCTGATGATTTTGATTATGAACTTCCACGGCGACAAGTTTATGGAGGTGTGAGAGAAAACTACTTTTAACTGCTTTGTTTTTTTATCGTTAATTCCGAAATAGTTTTTCTTTAGAGTTTTCTTTATTTAATTTCTCTTCATTTTGAAGGAAAATATACAAATTGGGGATAATTTGATATCTTTAGAATAAAAAGAAAATTAAATCTGATTGATTTTGTAAATTTTAGAAAACATTTAAATTTTCTTCCTTTCATTAAATGCAGCAGCAATTACCAGGCGTTTTAAAATCATCAATTATTGAGAGATTAGGATCTTCACAACTCAATGAACATGGTGCAGACATTTCATCATCACATAATGGAAGGTAAACCATTCCACTGTTACCACCAGCAGCCACAAGATCGTGACATGTTAAGACTGAAAATGTTTTTGATAATTAAGAGATTTTATGACAATATCGGACTTACGTAAAAAACCTAATAAAATGAAAGAAAATGTAAAGATTCTTGTTTTCCCAGTCATCTTGTTATGAAAAACCTTTCACACTGTTCTTCGTTTTAGAATTGACTTAAAAATATTCCAAAAGTCAATTTATAAACTCACGTTAACTACTAAAAGTCGTGATCTCAATGAAAAAACTTTATTGCATTTCATTTACTTTAACTTAATCTTCAACTAGGGCATATCGTGAAAAATGTTTAGCCACACGAATAAATAAATTTCCTTAAATATTTATTTACCAAGGATCAATGAATTGTGGAAGATATGCTTGGAAGATATAAGAAGTAATTAAAATTTTAACTGAGACAACAGCAATCAAACCCTGAAGGTGGGGGTGGCGAAATTGGAGGATTCTCGTGAAAATCATTACGAATTTCGTGGTCAAATTCACATGTCAAGTCACACGATCCCTTCATTTCAGAATTGCATAGTGGAAGATACTCAATGTCTCCACCACCAATGACAAGATCAATGTATGTTGTTGCGATGACTGAAAATATTCGAATTTTTAAGATTTCGCTGAGCAACTAAATCTAACTTACCAAGGCACATTAAAATATTCATAATTCTTTTACCCCCAACCATTTTATTCAATTTTATATTTGAAAATAATTTTAAAATTTATTTCAAAATTTAGTTGAACTAAAAAACGTGACTATAAAAACTTTTTTCAATACAAACGTAAGTATTTATATTTTCTCTTTCTTTCGTATACATTTTTTGTTTTCGTTGAGCCATACATGGATGTTTGGTTTCTTTTTGTTTTCTTGCGTGAAGTTTAAAATGGTTAAAATTTCAGCATCTTATAAGCGAAACAATGTGGCTCAATGGTCTAGGGGTATGATTCTCGCTTTGGGTGCGAGAGGTCCCGGGTTCAAATCCCGGTTGAGCCCAGATTATTTTTGTTTCGTTTCTTGGAAATATTTATTTATGATTAAATCTTATTCTATTTTTAATCGTTTACGTGGGATTGTAAACACAACTTAGAAACTTCTATTTTCACATAAATCATAATAAGAGAAAATAGGAAGTTGAGGAAATGTCGATTTTCAACAAAAAATATCCATAGTAACATTAGGTCGTGACGATGTTTCTTTTGTAATTACTCTTGAAGAGCTTTTTGGGATATTTTTGGATTTTATGTATCTCATCTGTCCTTTGAATTGTGCTTTCTTACTTTCAACCTTTTTCATTCTTTATCATCTCTTGGATAAACGATTCAATCTGAACTCGATTTTTCCAAGCACCATTGCTTTTTAAATTTTTAATGCCATAATGAAAAAATTATAAAAGCTTAAAAAAGAATCGTTAGGAAATCTTGAACTTTGATTAGAAAAGCTTTTCTTAGAAGTAATAAAGAATTCTTGCTTCCTTACTTATACATATCTTTATTAGGTCTATAATTCCACTTGTGCGCTTGATTGTAAACATGGTACGGCAGAAATCTATTTATAGACTCCTTACAACTTCTCAAATGCGTAAGAAGAAGGAAAGAATATAAAACATAAAGAGAGAAAAGTACTCACCATGCTGTGGTCATATTGAGCTTTATCTGATAACATTATAAGTTGATTCTCGTTTACTCTCACTGATCTCTGCATTTTCGGGCTGAGCATTTTCTTTTACCAATAATAATTTATTTAATTTACTTTGATTTGTTATCAATCAAATTATAAATGGGGGAATTCAAAATTGTTCTAAATTTTGTTTAATTCTAATCTACGAATTTAAATTGCTTCAACAAGACATCGTTTCTTTAAGTATTTCCTATTTTCATAGGAAACTATCATCACTTGTTGCATGTGTAAGATTGTTTCAGCTTCCGATTGAAAGATAAAGTGTTGGTGTGCAGTATCAAATTTATTACTCATTACAACTTGTTGATTATTTTCTGTTCTCCTTCCATTCGCTTTATGTCAAGCATGGTGTACGAGAACAACGTAAAAACGTTTATTTCATGTGCTTTTTCTTTTATGCTCTCACGCACCGAAACGAAAAAAAAGGAGCGTAATAAGCTTTATCGATTTTCTTCGCTCTCAAGCTCTCTTTGATTAAACCTTCTGCCTTTTTTCACACAATTTTCAATTATTGGAAATCTTATTTAATGTTTTCACTGTTTTCACTTTGATATATGCTTAAAAGATTTTATCTTCAACTCGAACGGAACTGATTATGTAAAGCATTTTAAGAAAAGCGAATAGACTCTTCTCAACCTAAGTTGAAGCAAAGAACAAAATTTTCAAAGTTACAAGATGAATCCTGGGAGTAAAGCTCATCATTTGGCACATAAGCTTTTCCACTTCAATTCTCGGCACAGTATTAAATTAAAGTTTATTTATAGCTTTCATTGTGAGTACATTATTCAGTTATATTACAATTTTATGTTAATAATTTGGCTTTTTAAACCCACAAAATAATCGCTGGTGTCACTTTTTCTTTCATTGCTGCAGATGAAAGAAATGAAAAGCTCTCATTAAATTTTCAAGGTTCGCAAGGTAATAAAATTCTACAGGTTGAAAATTTTTGTTCTTAAATTTTCACTTTTAAATCACTTCACTTTCACTGAAATTTCTTTTCTAAAACTATTGTAATTAATAATACTTGGGAAAAGTAACGATTTTAACTAATTTACATTATTTTTAATTAAAGTTTGAACTGAGATGATTTTAGGTTGAGATTTTTCATCCTTCACTTCAACTTTGATGAACGCTACGAGGAAAACTGTGACGAGAATTTCTCTTCTAATGCTTTTTATACACAAGTCGCTCTTGAGTGCTGTGATAAGAGAGAAGAAAAATGGAAAATTTTCAAGGATAATGGGATGGGGGACAACATGGTTATTTCTGAGGCAACATCAGGCTTCTTTCGAATTATATTTATCTTCTTTCACATGGCAATCTAAATTTACGTCAGGTAGGTTTTTGCATGGTTCTACTCTCACAAGTCAGAATGACTTCTCTCATGCTCTTCTGATAACATTTGATTTGACATCGACGATTGACTTGATAATCGAGAATTAATTTATTATAATTATGAAGAAGATTTTATCTTTATTTCCGAGTAAATATGTCAAGTTACTCAACTAGATATCAATTCAACCTGGAATATTTAAATACTGTTAGATACATAATTTGATATCTTAATAAAATAATATTTTTAAATCAGACTTTTATTAAAATATTCATGAAATTTATTAGATAAAATAACAACGATGAAGTAAATTTACGGTACGAAAACACATTTATTGCAGATATTAATAATTATACATTACAGACAAAAATTTTGTCAAATTAAGTGAAATATATTATATTCAGTTGACTTTTTAACGGTTAAATTGCTTTTGAATTATAACAATGCGCACTATCTGTGAAGATTTGGCTGCGCTCTCATTTGTTATAATTTCTCGCGACTGATATAATAGAAGTGCTCAAATAAAAGTCTTAGTTTATTTTTATAGTTGCATATTTAAGTCTTCTCCTTATAGTATTTTGATTTGTTTTAAATTAAATGTTTGTTAAATCTGTGAAATATATTTAAGACGAACTTTGGCAGTGAATGACCTTCATAGAAATCCAGAAATTAATTTTACATTTTACATTTACAAGAAAAGCAACAGGCTAATAAAAATATTGTCGAAATCAAAACAATCTTACGGCATGGATTACGACGATGAAGCATCAAAGTTACTTGAGAAAGCATTATCATCATTTGATGGGATTATTTCAGGTCAGTTAGAATACATCAAAAACAAGAAAAGATTTGCAAAGATTTTTTTCCTTCAATTCAGATATTTTTCACTTCCTATTTGTTGAATTATCACTTAGCATACGTATAATTTGCGAGTCACAGTTTTTTCATTTCAGAATTGTCTTTTTTTAACATTTCTTTTGTAGGCGATAAAGATACAGTTCGCAATCAACAGCCTTCATCAAATGTTTTGTCAGCGGCACAAACACTCGCGCTTGCCCTACAGCAATGTAAAGAAAGCAATACGCCTTCGCCTCCAGATAAAGAAACAGCCGAAATTATAAATGGATGGCTGGAGAGTTTTATGCCTGTGAGTATCTGAAAAATAACCCTGCCATTTTAACACCATCGATTTCTTTAATACTGAAAGTAAATGTTTACAAAACACCAAAATTTCAACAGCAGTGCGTGGGTGGAAGTGATACTTTGATTGATATTAAATTACAGTCTCCTTAAAAATAAAGCCATAAAAAAGCGAAAGCAAGTTTTATTGTTAAAAAACCATTTTCGTTAGGTAAATGTATGTGAACACCGAATTGTTTTAATTCCGGTTATGATGACACAAGCGTTTCTTGAAAAAAAAGTTTATCACAACGTGAATCAGCTGATAAGACATTTTTATGATTACCTTGACAGTTTTGAGTGGAGAAAAGCGATCGTACATTCTTCGACAGCAGGAAATAAAAGTGGAATGTCCCGAGCACTGTTTTGACTTCGCAGCACTTGATGGTCTGGCTTTTCGGTCACTTCATGCACAAAGTTCAATGAAACAATAACAACGAAAATTTTCAAAGTCGTTCTTAAGTGGATTAAAGCAAGTGATGAAAGCACGGCAACAAAATCACATATGTTTTCGAAATAATTAAAGAGTTTTGAAATATTTCAATTTTCTCCGTTGACTTTTCTTCTCTCACAAAGAACTCTCAAAAGTAAAGAAAAAAAATTAAGAAATATTTATGTTTCTTTCGTCGTTTCTTTCTTTTTCGAGTAAGTAAACGCGGGGGAGAAACTGGTGGATATTTTGTTCTGTTGTATAAACATTTACGATACATGTTTCTCTCTTTTATAATTAGCTAAGTTTTTCATTTTGGTGCGAGACAAGCAAGCAGAGTTAGTGAATTCACCTCTCGTTTTAATAATTAAAAAAATTACTTATTGAGAGATTTCTCCTTCCGTCGTCAGTAGCTTGCGGCTTTTAAGTGTAGTGAGACGTAATTCTCGATAAATCTCCCCGCGATTTTAAGATGAAATCTGTGACTTTAGTGTCTGGTGGAGGTAAGGAGCCGATTGAAGGCAAATCGAGACAATCAGAAAATGCAAAGAAAATTGCACGTTTATTGAAAAAGAGACGAGAACTGTTGGAAAAGGAAAAATTAAAAGTGGAAAATGAAGAGAAAAATATTCCAAAGCCAAAGTCTAGTCTAAAGGATGCAAAGGATCTAAATCAGCGAAGTGAACCAACATCAGAAGAATATGACGATGAAGAACCTGAAACAATCACAGAGAACAGCGATTCATATGATTCAATTGATGACTTTAGAGTTGGAGTCTTATCAAAAGATCTTGAAAAAGGTTGACGTCTTTCCACACAAAACTCATTAAGCATTCATAAGAAATAATTTAGATCAGTTTGAGTGTTTATAATGAAATTTATTTATTCTCTTTCGGTTCTTGTTTAGCTCAAGGCTGAACATGATTTCAATTAATATTACTTTAGTCTTTAGTCAGCCTGTCTGCTATGCATATATGTGCCGCCTGCGCTATATCAGTCACTATCCGATTTTAATTTTTATTTTAAACTTTGACTGTACGAAATATAAATTTTTCTATTTTTATCCCCCTTTTTTCCTTTTTCTTTAATTTTCTTTTTTTCAAAAATTGAACATGTCGAGTTGCGCATCGCATGATGATAAAAATCTGTTTAGTGTTGTAGTTTTTCGTTTAACGCGCGATGCGATCGCTCTCATTCTGTTTCTCTCGTGAGTTAATTTGAGAAGTCGTTGAAAAGCGCCAAAACGCACTTTAGAGGCAAGGAAAAACATTTTAATTTCCAGAAAGAAAATTTTCTTCTCTTGCTTTCAACGAGTTAGATTTTCGTTTAACTCATTTAAGTGACTTTGTCGACATGTTCATAAATTTTTATCTCTTTTTCTTATATTTATTTTGTTCAACCGAATTTTTGTTTGTAAATTTTTGTTTTCTCTTCTGCTCTTGTTATCTTTGCGTAAACATTAAAAATGATCGCGTCGTGCAATAGCGCAGAATATTTCAAAATAAATTCTTTCTTCTCATTTTGTGAGACTTTTATGATGATCGAAAAAACATTCTCGTAGATGAGTCAACGTCGGAAGATGAGGAAATCACATGGAGTTGTTTACAGCGATCACAAAAGCGAACTCACGAGACTTATGGAGTGACAAAAGCTTTGAAGGATTCATCGAAAACTCCTGATAGAAAAACTCCCACCCAGGATGAACCAAAATCACCGACAGCATCTGGAAAACCTCCACGCTTCTCAAATCCACCAGCCAGTCTTGATCGACGACAGAGAAGTCGAAGTCAATCCAACCGTCGTGAACAACGCGATTCGAAGAGTCGAAGTACACATTCGTTGCGCGAAAAGGATTTAAACGATAAAATTTTAATCTCTGATAAGTTGGCGAAAGATAATTCATCAAGTTCATGCAGCAATCGAAGAATGTCACCAATTGCATGGGAAGTTCCACCGCCTCCACCATTTGCACCTTGGGATCATCATTATTATAAACATCACATGTCAAGTCGTGATGATTTACGTTCAATGGATTATTACCGAAGACCTTGCGATCCATATCGTCTTGGTAGTTGTCAAGAGTTGTGTCATCATCCATCGACGTTGTCTTTATCAGGCAATTGCGAAAATCCTTATTTTCACTTTCCACCCCCACCGCCATCATGTTGCAATAATCATTATTATCAAGGTTATCAGGTTAGAGAAGAATTCGATGGAGACTTTGTAAACGACAGATTTAAGTGTTCAATTCATTTACTTAAATACTTCTTTTTTCTTTGACAGAGACAAGACAGCTCATCAGAACGTGTTCGTCGACTACAATCTGACAAAGACGCCTTACAGCTACAGGTTCAAATCTTGACAGAACAAATAAATGCACAAAGTGAGAAGCTTAAAGATTTCGAATCGACAGTGAATGAAAAAAATATGTTGATCACAAATACTGAAGATTTATTAAATCGAGTAAGTAAATGCGTGGGTGGTGTGAAATAATTTCATTCATGTGAAGTGTAAAGATTTGTCTGAGAACCTTACAATTCCGCTATTCACTTTCATTAACACATATCGAATGCAATTATGGAAAGACTAATTAATTGAATTCTTTGTTGCTTTTCTTTTCTTTCAGGAAATGCTTTCACGATCATCTTTAGAAACTCAAAAGCTTGAATTGATGTCAGCAATAAGTGAAATGAAACTTCAACAAGCAACATTGGAAAGAGAAAATTATGAACTTCGATCGACATATTTGAAAAATAGTTTAACAAATTTGAACAATGCTTCGTTGATGTATGGAAAAAGAATTTCAGGGCAACAAATTGCTAACAATAATCAGAAGAATGGTAATAATGGCGGTGCATTGAGTGGAAGTCATGGAAATTTATCACAAAACTTGTCAGTTGTCAACACTTCATCGCCTGAATTTAATCGACAACGTTCTGATATTCATTACAGTAGTTTACCACGTCAAGCCTTTGCCACTTCAACGATGTTATCAGTGTCGAATGGAAATAATCATGAGCCTTCTGAAATCAATAATTCACCGAAACGAAATGTAGCATTCGCTGATAAAGATAAGATCATTGATGACAGCATCAATATTCCTCAACGAAATTACACAATTCAAGCATTGACATCGCCATCAATGAGTCAAAAGCACAAAGGTCTTCGAGGGATATTCGAAAAGATTAAAAGCAACAATGGAAATAATATGAGTTTAGTTGAAGATTCATCATTGGAAAACGAAAATGATTTCATTCGTGGAGGTTTTCGAGCGACTGCAAGTCCACGTCTTGGTTGGAGTTCGCGTGGAATGAATAAAAGTTCGAAACCGTTTAAAGAATGGGACATTGACATGTTAATTGATTGGTTTGATGATTTGGGATTGGAATACGTTATTGAGCATGCTAAGAAGTGGTTGAGGACTGGAAATGATTTGTTGACTTGTGCACCGCAAGATATTGACAAAGAATTGAGCTTACGATCGCCTTTGCATCGAAAGAAAATTTTACTTGCCGTTGCTGACGTAGCTGACCAAGAAAGTGACGATTTACTTAAGAATGCTGGAAAATTGGACACGACTTGGGTGCTACGTTGGCTTGATGACATTGGCTTGCCACAACATAAAGATGAGTTTTTAGCGGGACGTGTTGATGGTCGAGTTTTACATAGATTGACACTTGACGACTTAGTGACGATGCACATAACTTCGACGTTGCATGTCGCAAGCTTACGACGCGGCATTCAACTTTTACGCGAACAAAACTTTAATCCCGAATGTTTAATTCGTCGTCTTGGCGAAATTGAAAAAGATAAAATTGTCTTCTGGACGTCGCATTGTATCATGGAATGGCTGAGAATGGTTGATCTGGCTGAATATGCGCCTAATTTAAGAGGCTCGGGTGTTCATGGTAGTTTAATGGTTAATGAAGTGAAATTTAATGCTGAACTTTTGGCAGATTTATTGTCAATTCCATCGAGTAAAACATTGTTGAGAAGACATTTGCAGACTCACTTCAAGGTTTGTTTGATTGACATGAGAATTTCTTCGAACTTTCACTTTACTTTGTTGTTTTAACGTTTCAGGATCTTCTCGGGCGTGAATTAATCCAATTGAAACGTGAGGCGGAAAATACTTTGGGTTATCAACCATTAACAATTACAGGAAAGATCAAAGTAAGATTAGAAGAGATTTTTTGATTTTTGTTTTTCATTAAATTTCTTTTTTCGCAGACCCCAAAGAAATCACAATTTTCACTTAAACGAAAGAAAAGTTTAAAGAATGACGAAGGAAGTGAATTTAGCAACTACGTTTGTCCGATGACAGGTGAAAAAGAAACTCACAAGGGTAATGTTCTAATGACTAACAATCTAACTGTAAGATTAAGTGAATTGTTGTTCTTGTTAATCATATTAATTAATTCGCTTCTAATATTTGCAGTATTTGTGCTAAAGTGTCGTACGTCACTCATTTTACATATTTTCGGTGACGGAATGGAGTCACATACATTCTTATGCTACTAAAAATACTCATTAATTAAACCCTCATACATGATTCTTAAATAAATACATAAATAAATAATCGTTACAACAATAAGTAAGAAGAATGTGAAGAATCTTCTTGTTTTATCATAAACATTCTTTCTTTCTTTATCTTTATAGAGTTCGATGACTTGGAAGATTCTTTGGACGGTAATGGAAATTGCAGTAAATCAAACACAAGTAAAACAAGTGTTAAAAGTTGCTTTACAGCAAAATAAAGAAAGTTTTGTGCTTAGAATAGATGAGACTATTAATTAATTAATTACATAATTAAAATTAAACTTAATTGTCTAATGAAACTTTAAGGACCAGCTAAGAAACAGGAATTTTTCACTTTCCAATTAAAAGTCTTCCAATCTACATGCAAACTCTCATTTAAAACTTTTTAAAGCAAAAAACTATTCTAATTCATGATTCGAATGCATTTCACATCGCGTAGTTTTTAATATTACATGACAGTAACTCTTTTTTCGTTACTCATTTCGTAACTTTTTATTTATAGATGACATGGAGAATCATGGCGATCTAAAAGATTTCCTCTGGTTTTTCACCTAAATATTCTAAAAAAGAAAACTTTCACACTTAAAGAAAAAATATTAATATTTGTGTGTGTGTGTTTAATGAACTTACTCAATTTATGGACCATCAAAGTAATAATGACAAACTTGTAGCTTAAACAAATATATTTAGAAAGAATTGTTGAGATGTTTGATCAAAAATATTTAAATCTAAAAAGTTTTTCCTTTCGTTCTGAATTGGAAGAAATTTGTTGAAGAGTTTTAAAGCTTCCATATGTTGAAGAAACCACCTAACAATAAATGAATTGTGTCTTAAAATTAAGAGTTGAAATGTTTTGTTTCATCTTTATGAAGAATTTTGTTTCCTTGCAAGAAAGAAAATTTATCAAGAAAAAGAAAGAAAAATTGTTTGAAGTTTAATATTTTCAAATAAAGAAGAAAAAAAATGATTTGAAAGTGAAAAAGAATTTTATTTTTTTATTGATTTGAAAAGTTTTGGAAATTTATTGTCGTTTCTACTTACAGATTCATGTCAATAAATCTCCGGATGATCATAAATATTTCAATATGTTGAGATAATAAATTTTATTATATTTTAAAAAGGCGTTCAAGAGAAACACGGAGATGATATGGAAGAAGTGATTTCCATTAGTAATTTCCGTTAATTATATCATCGCCTTTGGTTAGGCTTAAAAATTATCAATTCCATATCATCCACATAAACTTATCAATATATAAAACGTTACTACAATAATAAAATATAAAAACAATGGCTTTTTAAACGGTTAATCAAGTTAAATGATCAATCAATCGACACAATTGTGATCATAAATATTTCGTTTGCGGAATGTTCTCCACTTTAAGTATTAAGTTTTACGACTCCACAATAAATAATCTTTTTCTTCTAATTTTCACAAACAAGTGAGTAAGTAAATGAACAGATAAGTAAAGTGAAAAACGAAGAAATCTCACTGAATACAATTAGAAGACTGTTAACAATATGAAGTTAAATTTACTTACAAATTGTTAACTTCAGACATCATTTGAAGGTATTTATGAGAAAGAAAAATAAAAAACGAAACATCGACTGTGAGATATCAGCGAAAAAAAAACTGGAAAGCAAAAACAAAAATGCCAAAAAGTTTTCGCTTTCAGTCACTCGACAAGTTTTGATGGAATCGAAAGCGTTCAATTGACGCTGCCGCGTTGATAATTAAAATCGTCAGAGAAATTTCTCACTTTGATCGAACTTTTACGAATAAAAATGAATATTTTAAAAAGTTATTAAAAGTGCAATCATCTAATTATTTCTTTTTATTAATTCAATTTAATAATAGAAATCTCGGTGATAATAAACTAATGGAAACATTTTAACTTAAAAAAAAGTCAAGAAATAAAATGAAAGGTGAAGTTGACACTAAAACCTTACCGTTCGAAATGACATCATCATCTTCACCATCTCTTCGTCTTTCGTCGAGAACGATTATTAATATCAGCCAACATGAAAAACCAGTAAATGAGAAGAACAACGGCAAAGTAATTCTGCATCTCAACGAGCATTCGCCAACGTCTCAAAGCAACAATGAAGCAACCGTGAAGCATTGCAAAGATGAACTGAACATGTTTCAACGAAACATTATGTTGAGAAATGTTCGAGATGCAGCTTCAGTCTCAACATCACCTTCCTCGAGTTCAGATGAAAAATTAAGACATCACATTGTAAAGATTCAGATTCCATGTAGTGAAGACATTTCTATTATGTCAATTGACCAGAGTCAGTGCAGTGGTTACAAGATGGTGCATAAGCCTTTCGATGGAAACTTAAGTGATGACCAGAAACTGGTTTTAAGTGTTTCGGATGATGGATCATGTGAAACTAAAATAAATAATAATAACATGAAACCTCTAAATGAGAACGTGAATAGTATAACAATCCGTGGTCAATATAATTTAAAAGACGATCACTTTGACAGTGGAACATGTAGTGATGCTGAAGGAAATGTTCGTTTGTTATCTAACGAGTCTCCACAGCCACCTCCACTGCCTCCAAAAATTATCAAAATTAACCATCAGAAACATAATAATTTGAGTGAGAGTTTCTGCAGTGATGCATCAAGTGTTTCGTCATCAGATTCAGTGCAATACCACCAACATAATGTTGATACCAATAAAACAAATAATTTACAAGATCATCTTGTATCGCCTGATCTTATCAGATCGATCGATGATCACCACAAAGCGAGTAAGGTTGAAGGGCTTTTACCTCCATCACTTTTAATGGACATTAGACGTCATTCAGTTAAATACAATGACGAATCTTCTTGTGATGATGATAATGATGATCAAGAATCTAATTACAGCGATTTAGTTTTGTGCAATCGTGAAAATGACAGTGAAAAATTGGTGTTAAATTATTATAATGAAGATAAATATTACAAATTTCACATTAATGAACATTTATCGGATGCACTTGAATCGTGCAATATAATGTCGCATAATGAAAGCGATGAAAGCTTTGCTGGATTTAAAGATTTGAGAAGTGGCTCATCAGCTACTATCAGAAGTGCAAAGGGAACGATTCGGGGCGTTAAAAATCGAGTACGAAACGGAATCGCCACATTCCTGCAAATGCAACAAACAACCGTTAAGGTAAGATTGGATACAAGAAAGTTAATGATAGAACGAGTTGCAAACAATCAAAGTTAGGAATCGAGAAGATTGACAGATCTCAATAATAAAAAAACTGCCAACTTGATACTCATACGATTATAATCTTCATCTTGTTTGTCACACCTTTATTGAATTAAATGAAATCAATAGCAAATAAAAAGCCGCTAAATTTTCTTAATGAAAAGTAGATGAGAGAAGACAAAAAAATGAAACCAAGTCTCCGCATTTCACAAAGCAATTGTCTTGTGCCAAAAAAATATGATTTGCGATTGTTTAGAAATATATTCGCTTTAGAAAATTGCTCGGTAATAAAACAAAGCTACTTGGAAGCGACTTCAAGCCGCTAACAAGAAACAGTTATGTCTCTAGAAAATTATTTCATTAGCCTCTCACAACTGTTGTAACAGGTTTCGTCTTTCTTACTTCTTGCTATGTGCTCTCAATACCAGAGCAACATTTTTATCGTCTCTTGTTTGACTGCAATGCGGCTTTCCAGCATTTTTTTTCTTTCTTTCTTTCCTTCTTATCTCCAATGGTCATTATTATTTATTCTTCAATTAAAAAGCATTATGTATAACTCAATTGTTTACCAGTAAAGCTGAGACAGAAAGAAACAGTGAAACTTGTCATTTTCTTCAATCTTCATTCCATAACATTTAGTAGATCAACAATAAATTCATCGCACGTCTTTTTTATTTGCTATTATCGTGGATGTCTAATGAAGTAAAAAGCTCGTTGTTGTTGTCGTCTCGAAAATTTCACCTTGTTTGTTCATCTCATCGCTGTGTTACTTGAATGGGCATTGTCCCAGAGTATATTAATTTTCACCTACAACTACAATCCACTTTGCTTCTTAATCTTTCTTTTTTACTTTTTTTTTGTAAATTAAGCAACAATTATTTCACTCAAACGTGGAACAGATATTTAGCTTGTAAGAAAACCTCACGATGAATTTCTAATTAATTTCCTTTTTAATAATTTTTCGACGCAACTGTTTGAGTTCATTCACGGCGAGATGTTTATGAATGTAATTAAGTAATTTAACGTTCACATTTTTCTCACAACGAAAAATAAATGAATCCACTTCCAAAGAGATAAACCGCGTACTTTTCATTACCGTTTTGTGATTTGTTTTTGTGTACTTTGTATTCATTTTTCTTTTTCAATTTTCATGCATTTTTATGTCTAATTCATTATCAACATAAAATTTTAAAGACTCGAATAACAGCCAACTTTCTCACACCAAACGCCTTTATAAAGGAATAAAAAAACGCAAATTTAACGCACAAATATCCAAAAACATCAATAAATATTTTGACGAAATTTATGAGCATCAAAACTGGTTTCAATTTGATACTGGAAAAGTTATTTTTCTTCAAATATTTTAAACACTTCATTTTCTATTTAAATTTTATTTATATTCAAGAAGAAAGCCAATCAAAAGTATTAAGCAAAACAAATAAAAACGAAAACATTTTCAATTTTGATAAATACAGAGCCAAAGCTTAGCAGAACCAATTGACCTGCTTTCTCTTTCCATTTCGATAGACTTCAAGCTTTAAACATTTTTTTTTCTTCAACATTTCTCACCTACATCATTGGAATCTCCCGAAAAATTGTCATTCATTTCATTAAAGATGAAAATAAGAAAAGAAAATATTATTAAGTGACATCAAAACTTCAACTTTCAATTTTAAATGCAATCATCACGCGCTCAACAACTATCAATTGTCGATTCTTGTATTATTAAAATCTACTTTTAATGTTTTTTCCATTGCTTTTCAATGTTGAAGATGCTACTATAAACGGTATTGTACAGTCAGGTGTCGAGACGTTCATAAAACATTAAACAACTACCGTTAAATCATCAGCAGCAGCATCATTTGTTAATCTTTTCAACAATTGCAAGCTTTTCATTAACTCAACTTTATGACCTGGTTTAGAATTTTCGGTAATTTCAGGTGTTCAATTCATTGCTGTTGATTGGTGCGATTCGTATCTTTATTAATGATGTTCAAAGCGTCTGTGCTACTACTTTTGGTATTTCTCTATTACTATTTCCATTTCGATGAAATGCTGTGATTTTCACTTCTTCTATCATTGGCTTATAACGGCAACATTAACTTAAGACGACAAGTAAATATTACATTTCTAAAGCGACAGCATAATGAGCCACGTATAAATTTGATGTTTTTATTGTTTTGCAAAAAAGAATGATAAAAATAAAAGAAAAATGAAATTTATTACTCAACTAAACTCGAAAAGATGTTAAGTTAATCACATTAATGACTGAAAGTTTCTCCAATTTCAAGAACCAATTTGATGAGAAAACTTTCTTTCTTTCAATTATTGTGAACATCACAAATGAAATATTCCTTTCTCTGACAATGATCATCATCGTCTTCATGGTAATCAGACCGCAAATATTCCGAAATATTTCTTATTGCCAAAAAGAAAAAGCATAAATCAAGAAGCCTAATCAAGTCAACAAGCCGTGAAACAATTTGTTTTGATGAATCAATTGATTTTCCTTCTTTTTTCTCTTTCATAGAATTACAAAGATAAAGACGGTGGAAAAATTGTTGTTTACACAACCAGCATGGGTGTTGTGCGCTCGACTTATGCTAAATGTCAGACTGTGAAGAAGATTCTAAGGACATTAATGGTGAAGTTTGAGGAACGTGATGTCTTCATGAGCCATGTTCATCAGCAGGAAATTCGTGATCGAATGCAAACCGATGAAATTGATGTTCCACAATTATTTGTCGATGGACAATACATTGGCGTAAGTAAATTTAAGAAATCCACTTGAGAATGAATTATTGCATGTGTCGATCAATGACAAATCTACAAACAAGAACCTTGTACATGAATTAAACATTTCGGAACGCCGAAACTTGCATTGTCATTCGTTAATGAGAAGTTTTTATTATTATGCATTAAAATTCGTCCATGAGAAGTTCACATGAAAGAATTCTGAATTGTTATGCTGTCTTTTGTGTTGCATCATAGCTCCCCGTTAATGTTTAGTGGCATGGAAAAAATATTTTCTTACTTTTTTCGATGACGGCAACAGCCTCAAAACCACATGACGGTTCTTTATTTAAGAATCGAAACAGAAAGCAATTATGGTTCAATGTCCAATTGATTGTATCGTGTTCGTGTAATTTATGTGGCGATTGTAAACCTAGATCTACTTTTCTTTTATTTCCTTTCTTTTCGATTTGTTAATCGTCATTATTAAAAGAAGTATTGCTATTAGTAACATAGATAACTATTAAGATCACCCATGGATATCAAAATTTATTGTACTAACAACTTTTTATTTGTTTTTAAATTTTAGAACGCTGACCAAGTGGAACGACTTAACGAAATGGGTGAACTTAGACAGATGTTGAAACCTTTTAAGGTAACTTCCATTTAAGTTTGAAAATTACTTTCTTATCACAATAACTTCTTTCATTAGTGCATGGATTCAACAATAACTTGTCAAGTGTGCGGAGGTTACAATATGCTGCCTTGTCCATCATGTGGAGGATCAAAGAAGTCAGTTCATCGCAATCATTTCACAGCCGAATTCATTGCACTGAAATGCATGAATTGCGATGAAGTTGGATTAGTCAAATGCTTCAATTGTACGTAAAACGGAAGGAAGAGAATTTAATGTTATTGCTAATAATAATGCATTAAAATATTTGTTTAATAAAATTCGATTTTATCTTATCATAAATATTCAATTGGCGTTGAATTATTTTTTTAAATTACAGATAATTAAGTGTTTGAAACGTAATTCCATTAAAAGCTTTGAAATGGATGATCATTTCTCATTGTTCGAAAAAAATTAAAAAATAAACTTCTCAAGAGCTTTTAAGCTTTCAGATGCAAAAGCTTTCATAGTTTCATTTTCAACATCGTTCCAAACCTTTGATCGGTGACGATGCTCATCACATACAAAAATAAAACGAAACGAAAAAGAAAACGATTGTATAAATTTGCCAAGAGTCAGAGAAATAAAAACAATTTTAGTATGAATCAGACACTGTAATAGAACAGTTGAAAAATTGTTGAAACTCGCTTCGAGTTCAAATTAAATATCATTCGCGAGACGTGAGTGTGAAATAGCGAAGAAAAAGTTAAATAAACATAATAAAAAGATTTTATGTAAAAGAAAAACATTGAAAAAGTTACAACATGTGGTATCTAGTAAATTTACCGGGCAATAAACTAAACATTGCCGTGAAGACAGAAAAGAATTCTATAGCAGCCGATTGCCTAAATAAAGTAAGTTTTGATTGACTTTGTATTGGATTCTTGGGACATGAACTTTGTACTCAGTTTAATCCATTGTGGTAAAAAAATTTCGAGAAAGAAGAATGAAGATGTTGCTATGGTGCTTTATCATAATCAACTAAGCACATGATATCAAAGTCTTACTTATATGCTTAAAATAATTAGTTAGGAAAGTGATAAAACGTGTATGTAGAAGCCGAGGTTATCGATTTAAGATGCATTAATATCAAATGACGTATAACAAATGTCACCCACGCCTAGGTCAAAGCAATGCCAGTCAAAATATTTAAGAATCCGTGTAAGGGAAAAATTGAAAGGCATTGTGATTGTTAATTTCGAAGGCGAAAATAAAATTGTGTCATCAAAGCGACGTTCATTTTCCGTACACACGAAAAGAGAAAAAAACTAATTTCGTTTAATGTTTGCCTGTGCACGTACTAACAGTGTGCAACAATATTATGAAGTTTACGCTGAAGATCTAACAGCTGATTGATACAAATTATAAAAATGCATTTGTGCATGGAAGCGAAGCGATTTCATTGGCAATTACAACATTCTTAAAAATCGAAAGTTACTCGATTGAGAGTTTCATAAAACATTTTATAAGCAAGAGTTATAAATCTGCAACATTGTGTGTTCTCACCAGCAGGGTTTGCATTATAGAATCGAATGTCTGTCTTCTAAGTAAGAAGCAAGTAAACAACTTCAATGTGAATTTATGACATTTTGGAATGTTTTTCTCCCGCTCGTGTATTATTTTCTTAGAACATTTCATGCCTCATGGCAATGATCTTGATTCGTGCTTTAAAATGTGCAATCTTAGCAGAGAATTACTACTTATTTAATTCCGATGATTAATCAAATAACGTGTTCTCATGTGTGTCTACCTTGTCTGTTGCTATGTAGATAATTTATAAGCCTCCCACTAAACTAAAGATTCATTCCAAAGACCAACAAGTTGAAGTAAATAGGTAACTAATAAATTATAAAAACAAAGCTAGCAAAAAAGAAAGAAACTTGTTATGAAAAGGTTTTTCTCTCTCATTCAACCCATTTAGATATCTTAAATGACTAAAAGTTTCTAAATATATAAACAGCACCCATTTTTTTGTTATTGACATCGTTCTTTCTTGCCAGAGAAGATACGATAAGAAGTCAACAAGTGTATAAAGATAACACAGCAAAACAACTTGTTTTATATCACGCTCTTTCGTGTTTTATTTCGATTAGGATGCGTTCGTTAACGACCTCCGTTTAGCATTTATTTGCTTTTCAACAATGCTATTTCATTAAAATCACTTTACCCGATATCACGGGGGGATCGAGAGAGCGAACAAAGTACAGAAATGTTTTTTCAACGTTCCAAAGTCCACAAAATACATTCAACAATATATCTAGAGAAATTATTAGCGAAAACAGATATATCTGTTGCTTTGTATTCCTTCACTTCTTACTTTATGTATGTTCGTAGTGAATACTTGAATAGTATTCGTTTACGATCGCGTTCATCGAATAATAAAAACAGAAATAAAAAAAAAGTGAACAAAAACAGTTTGTTCTTATTTTGATTGCATTAGAAGTGTTATACGAATACAACTTTGTTCATTCGTATTTCTTTTCCTTTCATAAAAAACTTATCAACATATGATAAAAAAGACTTTTACTTTCCATCAATTATTGTATTGTTTACGGCACTTGAACAATATCAACAGTGTTGTTCAAGGCACGTGTGAATATAATGACACAAAAATATTGACATTTAAAGAAAAGAAAGAAAAATTACTTTTTCGCAAACATGAACGAGCATGAGTCATTTTATTAATCAACTTACATTGAATGATATCACCGATTTAGCTATAAAGAGTGCAACCGGTAGGTTTCATTCTGCAACAAACGTCTAGACATTATGACAACACTACTGATGAAGTAATTAAGACGTCGTTTTGAAAAGCGACACATCCGTAGTTCATTGAACTTTTATATCGCAAATAACTTTGTTTATCTGATTTTTCATGAAAATCACTTGTTTACTTTTCATTCACACCAACCAACGTTAACGATGAAATATTGGTAAAGAATACGCTGCGGCGTATTAAAAAAATGGCGGTAGATTCGTATAGCTGACACAAAAATATTTTAAGATTACACGTCGAGTCGTAAATAGTTCTTGAAAAAATTATTTTCAAATGTGATGTTTGAATTGAATATATTTTTGTTGATTGAAACGTAAAATTCAAAGAATTCTTTCATTGTTTTCGATTTACATTTGATTGATATGGGAATGAATCTTCTGGGAGCGTAAACATTTTGTTAGATATTTGAAAACAAGTGAAAAACCTTGAGTATTATTTTCTCATTTCTTGCAACTTAGCATTGACATGATTTGCTAATTTAATCTGAAATCCAAAACCTTCCCACAAGAAAAGAGTTGAATTTTTGCATACTTTAAATGTCCTAAAAAATGAAGAATTCTGAGTGACAAGCAAAAAATTTGACGCCAAAAATGTTCCTGGGAAAATTTATGAAAATGGAAAATTTCTTCTTTTTACTTGCAGGTTTGTTCCGATCTTGGCATTATTTGTGAAACTGATTACTTTGGATTACTTTACGCTGATCAGTCACATGATTCCCATTATCAGAATGTGAAGCAATGGATAAACCTTCGAAATCCTTTGGATAAGCGTCATAGAGGTGAAGGTCCAACAATGTTAGAGTTAAGAGTTAAATTTTGGGTTCCTTCTCATCTTATATTGCAAGAAAGTGTTAGGTGAGATCATCATCGTGTAATATATTTTAAAACAATTGACATTAATTGTGTTGTGTCACTTTACAAAAATAGAGAAATCTTCTACATGCAAGCACGACAGATGTTGATTGATGGTGAAATAAATCCTACAAATTGGATGCAAGCAGCACGATTAATTGCATTGGTATCTCAAGCTGAAGGTGTTAAATTTTCACCCGAACTTCTATCGGACACGTGCCAAAAATTTATTGAAAATCTTAGTCTTCGAGTACAAAAAATTAAATGTAGTAAAAACTACAAAGATAAACCAACCAAAAGAACTTTCGTAATTGAAATGAAAGCTGATAAGAATTGCGATAACGAGTGTGAAAATAGTCATTTAGAGAAGTTAATTATGGATAATTATGTGGAAAATCTAATTTTCCCAGACGATATTAATAAAACAAACAGTAATGACAAGATAATTAACAACGAAATCTCAAACGATTTTTTCGTTCATGTTGCTCGTGAACATCAGAAAATTAACACAATGACAACATCGTCAGCCAAATATTGGCTCTTGGAAGAATTTGCTACATTGAAGAAGTTTGGCGAAGAGTTTTTTGAAGGAATGCTAATATCAGAGACAAATAGCAGCACGAAAACTTCTCAACCTTGTCACGACATCATACAAATTGCTGTTTCCCCTCTAGGCTTAAACATCAAAAAGGCAAACAATGTTGAAATATTTCACATCCCATTTTCAGCTGTAGAATCAGCAAAATCACTTCGTCGTTGCTTTCATCTTTGTTATTTGGATGAAAATTTTGCTGTAACGAACTTCGTTGTGAAATTTGCATCGCATCGTATTGCAGGAACTTTGTACAGATCGCTTACAGAAAAACATGCATTTTACAGCTGCGAAACAGTTCACAAAAATGTAGAAACACAATTTATTCGTGACTTGAAGGTGAGTTGAAAGAAATCGAGTTGTCAAAATCCAAAGGGTTTTGACTGATTCTTAAACAATTCCACTGCTTAAAAGGCGTCGTAACTTAATTGCTTTTACTCATTTACAGGGAACGATAATATCGATGTTCAATGAAGACACGCAACTAGGAAAGAAATATGTGTTTGATATTCGTCTTACCTTTAGGGAACTTTATGACAACTCAAGAAGAATTTTGCACGCTCGTGGAGTTGATTTATTATCAAAACCAAATTATCCTGAAGAGTCTGTGAATACAACACATGAAGCAGAAAGCAAAAGAATTGACTTAACATGCTCCATATGTATGGATAATAAAATTGATACGTTGTTCTTGCCTTGTGCGCATTTATCATGTTGTCGTAGCTGTGCTCAAAAGTAAGATCATGAAACTATTTTTAAGTTAAATATCTTCTACAATAAAGTAATATTTTCACAGGTGCGAAACTTGTCCTCTGTGTAGGAATCCAATAAAATCAACATCCGTAGTTTACTTCACTTAAGGAAACTTCAACTAAAGCTTTAAACTTTGATTCTCTTCAAAGAAGAGATAAGGAATATTTTAAGCAATGCAATTTATAACAAATATGTGATAATTATATTATGATTAAAACTTTAAAATAATAAATAATAATTCTATGATAAACGAGAATGATTTTTGGAAATATCTAAATCACTTAATGCAAGTTAAGTGCTTTTCGTTCAACACGTGAAGATTATTTACTACCTGTATTAGCTATTGAGGCTGTCACATTAGAAGATGCTGGAAC